GAGGAGGAGGAGGAGGAGGAGGAGGAGGAGGAGGAAGAGGAGGAGGAGGAGGAGGAGGAGGAGGAGGAGAAGGAAAAGAGAGGAGGGCAGAGCCTGCTCGGCGCCCGCAGAAGAAAGCGAGCGCGGCAGGAGGCCCCGACGGCCACGGGGGCATCGCTGGCGGGCGGGTGGGCCCGAACGAGGGCAGGGCACCCCGCGAGGCGTAAGTCGGGCCTGTCCCCCTGCGTGGGGGATGTTCGACGAGCAATAAGACATAGTCGACGAAATATTCCAACATGGTCAAAACATACTCAAAAAGTAGTCCCCAGACGATTGACTCTTTTTTTTGAGCATTCTCCCTGTAGAGGGACGGGCCCGACCACAAGAAGCCTTCCACAAGAAACCCTCCACAAGAGACCGACAACAACAGGAACTCGACCGACAACGGCAGAGGGACAGGCCCGACCGACTTAACAGTAGGAACTCGACCACAGGAAACCTTCCACAAGAAACCCAACCCTGAGACCCCAGGACGGCCATTGCTTCTTGGTGTGGGGACGCCGCGCGCTCCGTAGCAAAATCAGATCGAAACCCGAGAAGCCCAGCGCGGCCCTGGAGGCAAGCAGGGTCTGGCCATCGCTCGGACGTCCATTCCCTATGTTTTTTTTGATATCGTGCGTGGTTTTTTCGCCAAATGATCAAGGATGCTTCTCGATGGTCCTCGCCGAAGGAAAACTGCACACGTCCGAGCGATGCCAAGGGGTGCTTCTCGGCAAGGGCCTCCACTGCATCGGTTCGGGGGGGGGGCACTGGCCTTTGCCTGGAGAGCTGGCTTCACGGGTCTGGCCGCGGGAGGTGGCGCCAGGCACGACGCCCGAAGGATTTCCCGCGCCCGGCATCACGCCGTCCGCTCTTGACGCAACTTGTCGCCATGTCCCCTTCCATCCCTCCTTCCTCCTTCCGCCTCCTTCCCCCCTCCCCCTCCTCCCCCCACCCTGCTCCACCCTCCTCCTTCCCTCCCTCCTTCCCCCCTCATTCCTAATCCCGCCAGCCCTCCTCCCTTCTGCCCCCTCCTTCCCCCTTTTCCATCCCTCCATGCCTCCTACCTCCATCCATCCCGACCTCCTCAATCCTCCATCTTTCCTCCAGCTGCTCCCCTCCAGGAAATGCTTGAAGTGCGAGCTCACCCACTGACATCCCTCGAAGCACGGCTGGCAATTAATCGACTTGCAGCACTCCGCGCAAGCCTGCGGGTTTTGGGATGGCCTTCCCCTTCCATCCTCTTCCCTCCTTCCTTCCTCCACTTCTCTTTTCACCTCCTCCTCCTACTCACACCGCATTATACCTAATCTTCTCCTTTCCTCGTCCCCGTGGTTCTACTCCTCTTCCCTACTCTCCCCACTGGCGCTCCTCGTCCCCATCCTCCTTTCTATAATCCTTCTTCCTCGTCGTCACCTCCTCCTCCTCCTCCTCCTCCTCCTCCTCCCCCTCCTGCTCCTCTTCCTCCTCCTCCTCCTCCTCACCCTCCTGCTCCTCCTCCTCCTCCTCCTTCGCAGGGGCAGGGGTCAGGGCACCGCATCCTGGTGCCAGTGCCACCTGATGCAGAGGGCACACCTGTCACTCGGAGTCGACGCATGGGCGCCAGGGACAGCGGCTGCTTTCTTGCCGTGGTGGAGGGTTTAACTCCCTCGCACCATGTGTTTGAAGGGGCCCTGGGACACACAAATAAGTACACACAAATAACATGATTCCCCATGTTTTCCCATATTTGCATGGTTTTGTCTTCCCCCCCACTTCCCATATTTTCCTATATTTTCCTGGGGATCGACGATTAATTGTGTCTGTCTGTTTTTTCCCCTCCGGATAACTCCCTGGCAACATGGGTTCCGTGAACAGTTGAGGCACACGCTTGCCCACCTGGGACCGCGCAGCTGGCCCGCGATATCAGGGCCGGCGCGGCGGGGTCCGCAGAATCAGGATCTGCATCGTCTCCAGAGGTGGGTGTTTAGTTCACCCCAGCACCACCGAAGACGGTACACCACCTCGGTGAAGGTGGCCGCACGTGGACCGGCGTCAGCTCCCAACCTATCCCAGCGTACCCTTTAGCCTCGGTATCGTTTGTACATGATCCTACATGATCCTCCTCCTCCTCCTCCAGTGACTCCCTCCACTTCCTCCTCCTCCTCCTCCTCCTCCTCCCCCTCCTCATCCCACCTCCCTCCTCCGTCCTCCTTCCTCCGTCCTCCTTCCTCCGTCCTACCTCCTTCTCCTTGCCCCCTCCTCGTCCACCTCGTCCTCCCACCTCCTACCCCTCATCCTCCTCCTGCCCATCCTCCCTCTCCTCCCCCTTCTCTTCGTCGTCGTCCTCCCCCTCAGCTTCCTCCTAAACCTTCCCACCTCTATCCTCCTCCCCCTGCCCCTCCTCCTCCTCCCCCTCCTGCTCCCTCCACCTCCTCCTGCATCCTCCCTCCTGTTGGTTCTCTCACTGTCCCTCCTCTTCCTCCAACTCCGCCTACCTACTTGCTTCTCATTATCCTTCCTCCTCCGCCTCTTCCATCCGCGTGCTCCTTCTGTTCCTCGTCCTCCTGATCCTCTTCGCTCGCCCTCCCGCACTCAAGATCGAGATCAACAAATTCAGCTATGTGCGACCCACAGGAGGAGGAGGAGGAGGAGGAGGAGGAGGAGGAGGAGGAGGAGGAGCAGAAACATCATAACGAGAAACACGAGAAGGATGAGGGCTCTTTCGCATCTGCACTGAGGGTCAAGCGCGCTCGGGGCTTCAGCGGGCGATGTACGTGCCGATCTGCACAACGCACTGTGCCCTGCGGAGCCACCGCCCATCGTGTTGAATAGCCTGCGCCCACACCAGCTGTGTGATGGCGAGTGCTCGTCTTTCCAAACTACGTTGGCATGGCCCAAAACTGATTTCCCGTCGACTCTGCGAGAGAAACCATACCGCTCCGTGTGCCTCGTAGGTTCGGCGAGAGTCAGCACTGGGGTAGATCAGTTCTGTAGTAGCCCCTACTCGACAGCTGTTGAGCTCGACAGGGAGGCGGGCGCCTGACGAGAGAGCAGAGGGCCCAACACGCTCACGATCTACAGCGCTCCGCCCGCCCTCTGTCCCCCCCCCTCTCTGTGGCACGTTGGCGTTGGCGTGCATCTTGAACACGAACACATACAGTGCTTTGAATGAGCTGAATCGAAAGACCTGCCGACCGGGCGCCCTCAAGGTCCAAGGCTGATGACTCGTTCGGGGGGGCACTGCGCTGGACTCCGCTGCAGGCATGCACTCTGGGAAGAGGAGGAGGAGGAGGAGGAGGAGGAGGAGGCGGAGGAGGAGGAGGCGAAGGAGGCGGAGGAGGAGGAGGAGGAGGGGGGAGGAGGGGAGGAGGAGGAGGAGGAGGAGGAGGAGGAGGAGGAGGAGGGGAGGGAGGAGGAGGAGGAGGAGGAGGAGGGAGGAGGAGGAGGAGGGGGAGAGGAGGAGGAGGAGGAGGCGGAGGAGGAGGAGGAGGAGGAGGAGGAGGAGGAGGAGGAGGAGGAGAGGAAGAGCAGGCAGGAGGGGGCGGAGGAGGGCGGAGGAGGAGGAGGAGGAGGAGGAGGAGGAGGAGAGGAGGAGGAGGCGGAGGGAGGAGGAGGAGGAGGAGGGAGAGAGGGAGGAGGAGGAGGTGGAGGAGGAGGTGATGATGAGGAGGAGGAGGAGAATGAGCAGCAGGAGGGAGGGGAGGAGGAGGAGGAGGAGGAGGAGGAGGAGGAGGAGGAGGAGGAGGAGGAGGAGGGGAGGAAAGGGAGGAGGAGGAGGAGGAGGGAGGAGGAGGAGGAGGGAGGAGGAAGAGCAGCAGGAGGGGGAGGGGGAGGGGGAGGGGGAGGAGGAGGGGAGGGGAAGGAGGAGGAGGAGGAGGAGGAGGAGGAGGAGGAGGAGGAGGAGGAGGAGGAGGAGGAAGAGGAGAGGAGGAGGAGGAGGAGGGGGAGGAGGAGGGAGGAGGAGGAGGAGGAGGAGGAGGAGGAGGAGGCGGATGAGGAGGGAGGCGGAAGAGGAGGAAGAGGAGGAGGAGAGAGGAGGAGGGGAGGAGGAGAAGGAAGAGATGAGGAGGAGGAGGAGGGGGAGGAGGGGGAGGAGGGGAGGAGGAGGAGGAGGAGGAGGAGGAGGAGGAGGAGGAGGAGGAGGAGGAGGAGGAGGGAGGAGGAGGAGGAGGAGGTGGAGGAGGGGGAGGAGGAGGAGGAGGAGGAGGAGCAGGAGGGTGAGGAGGAGGAGAAGGAGGAGGAGCGATAAATGGGGGGGGGGGCGTCCGGGAGCAGAGACACGAGGCCTTGGCCAGGCCAAACAACTCTCGCGATGCGAGTTGCGAGCGATGCGCGTCACGATGGGCCGAGCCCTCCCGACGCGGAGGAGGGGCCGGAGAGGCCACCTCCTTCTGCAGGTCGGCCGGGTCAGGAGGGATATGCGGCGAGGGTTAGGTCGGGCCTGTCCCCCTACAGGCGGATGTTTGGCGAAACATCAGAATTCCACCAACATCCTCAACAAATGCTAAAACAATAATCCAAAAATCGTCCCCAGACTATTTTTTCCACTATTTTTGAATGTTCCTCCTGTAGAGGGACACGCCCGACTTAAGGCGAGGGGGCAAGGCTCCTGGACGCCGCGAGTGCAGCCGAAGCTGGCGGCGCATGGCCCGTGGCTGTGGGCCAAGATGTGGGCCGAGAGGTTACGGGTGCAGAGGGGCCCCGTGGTGTAGGGAGTCCCCCCCTCTCTTCGGGCGTAGGTGGTCTAGGGAGTCTCCGGGCGTAGGTGGTCTAGGGAGTAGGTGGTCTAGGGAGTAGGGAGTAGGTGGGCTAGGGCGCAGGGCTCCAGGTGTGAGACAATCCCACCGGCTCTCCGAGCCAGGTGGTCTGGGGGGCCTCCTCCTCTTCCAACCCCCTTCTTCCCCATCGGGGAGGGGTTTGCCCCTCCCCCCACCCCCTCCCCTGGATCTGGACGGGGAGGGGGGGGGCGGCGAGGCGCTGGAGCGTCCAGCACGGCCCAGGACGGCTCTAAGGGGGCGGCGAAGGCACCCTGGGACAATCGCTCCTCCTCAGGCTGCGGTACGGCCGTGGCCACGTTTTCCTCGCGTGGGGGAGCAGGGGGAGCGGTCCTTGCCAGCACTGCGTGTCCGCGACCGCAGGGGGTGAGGTCTGCGGCGTCGGAGCGCCCTGTGGTTGCCCGTCGCACACCATTCCGCCCCTGGGTGACGGCCACCTGTCGGAAAGTGCTGTACCCCCCCCCCACCTTCGGCCCCTTATCAGTGCATCGCGCCACGAGACCCAGCATCGCCAACGATGGCGAAACGGCGCAAGCGCTCTGAACGACACGCTTTGCCGACGAGACCTTTGAGGAGGAGGAGGAGGGGGAGGAGGAGGAGGAGGAAGAGGAGGAGGAGGGGAATGAGGAGGAGGGGGAGGAGGAGGAGTGGTACGAAGAGGATGACGCGAAGATGAAGACGCTGTGAGGCGCCGAAGCAGGAGGGGCGGCGGAGCAGGGGGGCGGTGGCCAAAGGCGGGACGCCTGGCAGGCAAGTCCTGGGAGGCTGCATATCGACTGGACTCCCTGGAAGATGTAGATCATCCTCGTGCAGACAGGGGGATTGTGTCATACCCTCCACAACGAGGGCACGGGAGAGAAGGACGAGGACGGGGAGAGAAAGGGTCAGGGGGATGGGGAGAGCGAAGAGGTGGTGGAAGAGGGAGAAAGGAGGAAGAGACCTCGGGGATGACGAGGCGGGTCCGTGACCAATTTTGGCTGTGTCGCCAGACAGCGGGCACCCCTTGGAGGGAAGGGGTCGGCGGGGGGAAGGACAAAAAGCCACAACGACCACTCGGGGCGCTCTTGAGGCTGCGGCTGCTGCCCTCTGCGGGATGCAGGCAAGTCAGAGGCAATCTGGCAAGGAGATGGAGGAGCGTGGACTTTTTGCCTCGGCGCTGGACTCCCTCCCTGGCACGCGGAGCGCACCGGGGGCGGCGCCAGAGGCGCCGCCAGGGAGCCCCAGAAGAGATCCGCGCAGAGCTCAGAGAACTTATGTGTATCCCATTTTCGGTTCTCCGAGAATTTCGACGAAAAATAAAAAATACCCCCAACATATTCCCAAATGGTCAGAAAATACTGAAACAATATAGTCCCCAGACTAACTTTTGGCAATTTTTGAATGTTTCTCCTGTAGAGGGGCAAACCCGACCTACACTTATGGGTGTGCCGTTTTCTGTTCTCCGACTCCCCCCGGTCGGCGGGCCGAGGGGGGCTCGGCGGAGGGGCCGCGGGGATCTATGATTGCTGGCCCAGGTCTCGGGCCGGGTCCCCGGGTCGGTGAGGCCTCGCGAGGTCCTCCTGCGAGGTCCCGCAGGATCCTGCAACATCCTGCGCGCTCATTTCGGCGGCGCGCCCTGGGGAAGCGAGCAGGGGCGGGTCTTCTCAGAAGGCTCGGGCGTCCCCCGGCCTGAGAAGTTTTCTCTAAGCCTTCCCCGAAGACAGAGAGAACTTCTCAGAAGGCGCGAGGGTCTCCGCGAGATGATCCAAAATGCTCCTCGATGGCCCTCGCCGAAGAGAAAACACACACGCCCGAGCGATGCCAAGCAGGTGCTCTGGCGGCCCCCCGTCTGCATGGGCCCCCCGCCTTTTGAGCAGGGGCCGACCGTCCCGGCATTCCTATAGTCCTACCACGAGATGTTCTTAGAACCCAAGCATGTTCTCACAACAAAAGCAATCTTCTTAGAACACTACCCCGATGTGTTAAAACAAGACGAACTCCGCCAGAAATGTTCTGAGAACATTCCGTGCAAACCACCAGAAAGGTTCTTAGAACACTGCTTGGTGGGGCTATAGGCGAGCCAGGACGCTTCGTCACTGCTTGCGCCTTGGAGCCCCCGGGGCAAGGGGCCGAAGGGGGCCGGCCATCACGACCACGCGCGGGGCGCTCCGATGAGCGGCTGCCGCCCGCGCCGGGGGGCGAGCCCGCGGGCTGCCCACTGGGCCCAGGGACGCCAGAGGCCTCCTGCCCATCGGTCGGAAGAAGTAGGTCGAAACAAGAAGTAGGAAGGGGCCCCAGGACACACAAAGAAATACACACGAATAAAAGGACTCCCCACAATTTCCCATATTTTCTGGCTTTTTGTCTTCCCCCCCACTTCACATATTTTCCTATATTTTCGGGGGAATCGACGATTAATTGTGTCTGTGTGTTTTTTCCCCTCCTGAAAGTAGGAAGGCGCTGAAAACATATTATCAGAAGCTGGGCGAAGGCTAGCAAACCCGTGGCTGCTAAAACGGAGCTCCAGGAACTTGTTTTTTTTCTTCCGGGAAGCAGCCTGTTTACAATTAATTGCGCTGAACTTTATTCCGGGAACTTGTTTGTTTTCTTCCGGGAAGACCGTTTTAGCAACCACAGATTTGCCAGCCCTCGCCCAGCTTCCGAGATTAGGTTCCGTCCGCCCCCTAAGGAGGACGGAAATGGTTAAGCCACTCGATCGTTGAAGTGGGAAGGCGCCTAAAGTAGATTGGGATCTGGGAATCCCCAAAATGCCGACTTTCAACGACCGATGGGTAGATGAGATCCGAGTAAATGGGGTCGGAAGATCGCGCCGCATCGGCGATACATCGGCGACCCATCGCCGGTGCATCGGCGACGTGGGCGGTGCATCGGCGATGTCTGCGTGGTCGAGCCGCATCGGGGATACATCGGCGATGTGGCGCGATCCTCCGACCCCATCTACTCCGACCCCATCTACTCGGAAGCTTAGAGAGGCACACTTCTGCCGCTGGGCCGCGAAGCGCCGGCGAGCGCGCGACGCGCGGGGCAGCGGGTGAAGGCGAGGCGACGTGCAACAGGATGGGGGGCACGCTCGTGCCGCTCCCGTGACCGCCGCCGACTCCCTCCGTGCGTTCGTATGCCTTCCCCCTGCCATCGCTCGGACGTCCATTCCCTGTGTTTTTTTCGGTTTCGTGCGTGGGTTTTTCCGCCAAATGATCAAGGATGCTCCTCGATGGTCCTCGACGAAGGAAAAATGCACACGTCCGAGCGATGCCAAGTCCCCCGAGGAACGGTGCTGACAGCGTCGAAATTAGCCTCGACTGGGCCTCGGAAGACACAAATGCATGCCTGACGCACGCGCGCAGTACGGCCGATCCTAAGACAGGACAACATCCTTCAAATGAGACCCTCTGCCAGCCCAGACTGAAAACATTCGAGGGCGCCCTCCCCCAGGATGCACCAAAGCATCCAACAAACACGAAACACATTAGGGCACCCTCCCCGAACCGACCTCGATCTCATACGCCGGTCCAACCGTACACAAAAACGCGAGCGCCAACGCACGCGCCGCGCACACCCACGCGCAGCACACCCGCACGCAAGCAGCAGTCGAGCCGGGCGGCTCCTGCTCGAGCGCGACCGCGAAGGGGGTGATGGAGGCGTAGCGAGTCAGGAACAGGGGGCAGGAGCGGCGGTCGAGTGGGCCAGGTCGAGCGAATCGTCCGAGGGCCCCGAACTCGTGAAGAATTGCTTTTCTTTACAATCAATTTATGGTGATTGTAGCTCAGCTGCTTCGAGCGCTGGTTCGTGGCACCAGAGGTCGCGGGTTCAAATCCCGTCTCTCACCCTCTCTTCATGTAGACTGCATCTTCCTCAATTCAGGGAATTGGATCGATCGCGCCGCAAATTGCTGCTGGGATTGGAGAGCGCGCTCCCGCCCGGCAGACGGGCAAAATCGGGAGGCGCTCGCGCGCGGTCCCGCTTGCGACGGCTCGGCAGAGGGAAGGAAAGGGCTGTGAGGGCCGCGCAGGGGCGGAACCGGCAGCATGGCCGACGGGCGCGGCGGGGACGAATCGTGCGCCGCGCTGGCACAGCCCGTGCTCTTTCGCTAACCAGCCGCGCGGCGCTTGGGCGAGGACTGCCTTTCGCCCGCTCCCGCGCGGCCCCGCCGCCGCTGCGGCTCCCCCGCGCGACTCTGCCAGGCAGCCATGCGCAGCGCCCGCGCGGAACACCACTTCCGAGCGAACGGCGCACGGAGCCTGGGCGGAGTCTGCGCGGAGCCGGAGCGAGAGCTACATCTTGGCCCGCTCGCACGTCGACGACGTGGCGTGTGAAGGCTGTACGCGCCACGTCCCAGTGGGGACGCACTTCTCCAAACAGATCGGCGCGGCGCCGGGACGAGACCGGCATTTGGCTCGGCCGTTCGAGCAAGATGTGCGCCCTGTCCCATTCTTGCCACGCATTTTGCAGCACGGGCGACGCAATGTCCATGTTGAGACGCAGTTCTCGACTTCGATCTTATGAAAGCAAGTCGGATGGAAAACGTCTGGGTGTGGGGGCTATCGGCCGGCCAGGTGGCACATTGGGAGAATTTACCCCTCCCACCAGCCCTTACAAGCGTGATTGGTTTAGGGCGCTTCCTCGTCAAACCCTCCTTCTTCCACTTCGGGGAAGGGTTTATCACTGTTCTTTTTTTCCTTTGTAACAAAAACTTCCCCAGGCGACTGGCAGCCAACCAGGAATGTCCCCTCCACACCACCCTTGTCAAAAAACAATACCATTGGGCAACATACTTGGTCATCATCGTGGGCCCTGCCAGCGAGCATTTTGACGACTTGTTGTTATGACAGGGGCAGCAGGGACAGCGGGGGGAGAAGGGCTCATAATCCACAAGCCGGAATTAGGTGATCATTTCGATCCTCTGTAACAGAGGGGCGTTGTTTGGAGGCCCTCTGTGACAGAGGGGCGGTGTTTGGAGGCCCTCTGTGACAGAGGGGCTCGTCATCCCCCTCCTCCTCATCCTGCTTCTCTACATCGTATCTCTCATGCTACTTCTGCGCTCATCATCTTTGCGTCAGTGATCATTGTCGTTGTTCCCCATGCGTCCTTTCACGATACTCACCACATTATCCTCCCTTGTCTTTTTTACCCCGCCATCTACCTCGTCACCCTCCTTCGTCTGCATTTCCTCGTTCTCTCCCGCCCTTGTCCCCCCCCTCAGGTTCGACTTCCCGCTTTTCGTCCACTTCGTTCTCCCTCTTCCGGTTACCTTCCTGCCCTGTCCTCGCCGCCCGTTCCTCGTCGCTCCACGCCTGTTCTCTCTCCTCCTACTACCTCTCCCGCTTTCTCGCTCTCTCCATCCCATTGCGCTTCTCCATTCCATGGCTTCCCTTGCTCCGCCTCTCTCTCTCTCTCGCTTTCTGTCTCTCTCTCTCTGTCTCTCTCTCTCTCTATATATATATATAGACTCCGTTCTCTCCCTCTCTCTCTCGCTCGCTCGCTCGCTCGCTCTCTCTCTCTCTTTCTCTGCTTTACCCTCTTTTCCTCCCCAGAAAGAGAGAGCGAAGGAGAGAGAGAGAGAGAGAAAGAGAGAGAGGAGGTGCGTCTGTGTTGTGGGCTCCACACTAGAAAAGTTGTCATGTATTTCAAAAACTGAATTCAAAATTGCTGCGGCTCTTTAAGGATGCCGACAGACGCGCGTGGGTGGGTCATCCGCGCGCGCGGGCGGGTCACCCGAAATCCGACCGGCCACCGCTAAAGAACCGAGCGGATTTCGGGTGACCCGCGCGCGCGCGGGTCACCCGCGCGCGCGCGGGGGGAGTTCTGCATTGTCCACCACAAAAGAGTCGACATGTAATTCCAAACAATGAATTCAAAATTTCTGCGGCTGTTCCAGGAGGCCGACGGTGACACGTGTCAACCGCGAGCGCGTTGGGGACTTCTGCATTGTCCACTGTAAAAAAAGTCGATACGTAATTCCAAAGACTGAATTCAAAATTTCTGCGGCTCGTTAAGGAGGCCGACGGCGACACGTGTCACCCGCGAGCGCGTTTGGGGACTTCTGTATTGTCCACAATAGAATAGCCGACATGTAATTCCAAAAACTGAATTCAAAATTTCTGCGGCTCTTTACGGAAGCCGACGGTGACACGTGTCACCCGCGAGCGCGTTGGGGACTTCTGTATTGCCCACAGTAAAAAAGCCGACATGTAACTCCAATTATCCCGGCGAAGGGCCCAACCATGTGCAG